CCCTTTTGTCTGTTCAGGGGATGGCAGCGTCGACTACTCCCGGGCCGCGGCCTACTCCTGCCCTATGCGGCAGGGTGTGCTCCCCGCAGCCACTGCTAGCGACAAGTACCAAACGTTCCTGCTGCGCCCCATCCGCTATCCTGCAGCCCCAGCCCCGGCTGGCGTCGGCGTCGGCGCCGCGCTCCCGTCCCTTGCAGAGGGCGAGCCCGCAGATCCTTCGGAGCAGGAGGCCATCACAAAGGCATGGATCGCTGCACAGTCGCCAGGCAGAAACGCTGTGATCCTTGCTCAAAACACCACTATGCCGTAGTGGATTGTGCATAGGTATCTTGCATGCAAAGTTATGTGGCACAACTCGGGCCTGTTTCGAATTAAGCACTTTTTTACAAGGCGCACAATCAAGCCTATTGTGGACGGGCCCCGCGTGCCCACAAGCGTGAGAGTGCCGCCAATTTTGGGCGGTGGATGGCGTTTACCATCCAGATACATTGTTGACCTGCATTGGTCATGCACCAGCAATCTCAAGGGAACGATCCATGCTGTCAATCGTTTGTGGGCCTAACCAATGCTGCGGCGGCTGCATTGAGGAGCAAGTACCTGCTCATAAGCTTGCTGTTTGTGTTGGAAACTCGGTGATCATTCACACCCTTGGCTACGACACCCCTGTTGTACCTGATTTCTCCTGCCTGGGAGATGAGATGCAAGACTTCATTATACAGCTTTGAGGCAAGTGTCAGCGGACAGCTAGCGGGCTGTGACCATACCTCTCAGCGCATGATCCAGCATCACCCAGGTTAAAGACACATCTCCGGATGCAAACCTTTGCTGCTTGTGTGGGTAGCAAGGGCTGTGGCAAATGGCAATGCATGGGCTGTGATGCAATATCATGCATCACATTGAGATTGATTTCAAGGGGGCCCCGAAGCAGTGTCCATCCATCGTCATCCCGTGCGATGTGAACCTACAACTAGCCCTGATTCGTGCATGTCCCCATTGCCGTGCCACCCCGCCAAACCGCACCTGGGTCCAATCAACACGCAGGAGACGGGCATGAAATTACACACGCAACTCGCTGTGTGCAAGAGTGCCTTTGCACTGCTGGTTGAACGTCGTGCCCACTGCCTCAAGGAAAGCACATGCTACGATGCACGTCCTGTCTGTCCACGGCCACTCGGTGGAGCCTTTAGCAAACACACAAGCGTACGCAGGCCTCATTGCCTCCACAAGGCGCGCTGCCCGCGGCAGTGGCCGCATGGGCAGTGCGTCGCATGCAATGCGACGCTGCGCCTGCCCAAGGGGGTGGACCAGCAGGCCCCGGCTCAGCGGCCAGCTGCGACGCCCGCCCGCCGGCAACCTGCAGATTGTTGCATAGTCACAACCGTGGCCGCCCTCTGCTCAGTCACCCTTCCGCCGGAAAGAGCAGCCTGCAAAAGGAGCGTGAGAGGGGGGTGCTAGGGTCGGGCAGGCTCCATCTTTGGTCTTTGGGGAAGGGACAAGATTTGTGCGCGGCCAAGGTGCATGATGCAGCGCGCAACCGGCTCCCTGGCCATCCTGGCATCCTTTGATCATGCTGCATGCCAACGTGCTGCAGCCATCCCACAACTGGCCTCAGCTGTGCGTGTTCCACAAGTTCCCAGGGACCGGCGGTTGCCTGCCAAGAACAACTGCATGCTGGCGATACACAGACAAGTGCCTGCCTCGCCACAAATGCAGGGCTGCCCAAGTGTTGTGCAGTCGCTATGCCTGATGCCGCACCCCTCGCATCGCCAAATGCACCCGCCACCACAGAGCTGAGCTGCTCAAATGCTACTGACAAACCAGCTGCGGCCGTACGCGCTGCACAGCTGCTGGCTTGTGTGGTGCACCACCTCAGCAGATCAGGTGTGCGAAGCACACTGTCACATCGCACTGAAGAGCAGCTTACCCTCCGTCAGGCGAGCCCGGCCGCCGGTAGGCGTGCACAAGACCGTGGAGCAGCTGCCGCAGAGAACCACAGTCTGGGAGTGCGAGAACACCGTGGTGCTGCGAAGCAGCAAGCAGCAAGACAGGGCAGATCATCAGATTGCCAGCCACTTCTTTGCTACCGTGCAGCGTCTCTGCCGGCGAGCACAGGTGCGCGACAACTTAAACTCACATGTTGAAGCATCCCTGGCACTTGACGTCCTGCGTGCATAGGGGACAAGGCGGACGAAGCGTGAAACGATGGTCCCAGGCGTCCCCCTCGCCCAGCAGACCGTCACTCGCTGTCCAGGGTCACAAATAAGTTGCAACACACCCATCTGCGCGCGTGCTCACCATAAAGAACGAGTTGGGCGACTGCACCAAGCGCTTGAGCTTGTGCTTCTGCTTCTCCAGCTCCGCTGGCGGGTTCAGCAGATCAATATCACTGTGCAGCACCTGCAGAAAGGCGAGGTCGGGCGTCACGCCCGGGGCCGGGGCGCCTTGCTGCTGATGCAGGAGCAGCCGCCCTGTTCTGCGCTGCAACACCCACCATGTTTGCTGGTGCGCGCAGCAAGAACCTGCCTCACTTTCTACCGGCTGGAAAGAGAGCGAAGGGCGGGACGCGCTTCGCTCTTGTGCACCTGCAGTGACTGTCTTGCTGCTTGGTCTGGAGCCTCGCGCTCGCGTTGTAATTTCTTTTCAAAAAAACCTCTCCCCCAAAACATTGTCAGTAAGCCAGCACATGTTGACCTTACAACTCGATCTCTGCATCAGATCATCAGGCGATACACAACAGATCACGCAGGTATTCCAACGCAATTCGCGCGCTGCGCAAGAATATTGCTGCGACGTTGCGGTGATTCGATGTCCCTGGTAGCTGTGGCGCCCTACAACAGCCTACAGGTGTCGCTGCCGGCCGGCGGTCAGAGCGCCCATGTGAGGTCCTTGCTGCCTGCACGCATCAAAGGCACTTGGCGAGCTCCTGGAACTCAGTCTTGCACTTCAGCAGGCCCTCTGCCCTCCGGTGCACAGCGTCGCGCTTTGCCTGAAGCGTTGCCAGTGCGCCCGCGGCTGAGGCGCGTGGCGGGGTGGGGTGCCGGCCGGCAGGGGGTGGGGCGGCAAAAGAGCAGCACATCAGAGGCGTCACTCGCAATGCGGAACGGAATGGCTGAACCACATACGTTGTGGACCTCATCACAAGCGAGGCATTGTGCCATCCGCTGCCACACGCCGTGCCCGCCAAGCCCACCCGTGAACATGGCCATGAAGTCGCCATCCGCCCTCGCAAACAACTCCAGCGCCACCTCAGTAGGCAGCTCGCTGCACATGGGCTCCAAAAATGCGGCCTTGAGGGTAGTAGGTGCCGCCTTCGGTATGTGGCAGGGCAGAGCTGGCAAATCAATGCAATTCGGGTGCGCAAAACAATCCCCTCACAGAACACCGATACAGGAGGTCAGACTACACCAACTCCAAAAATCAGAGTCCCATGACAAAGGACCGACTTCCACTAAAACTGGAAATTGCCTGGTTGATGCGTGGGCCCATCATGTCAGCAACTGATGCAAAAACGCCCAGTTGCATAGGCAAGCGCCCCAGCTCACCTGGCCAGCGACACTGCTGCGAATGCGACCAAACAGCCGCTCAGCGAATGACACCACCTCGCTGTATGTGCTAGGCAGGGCACAGTTCCCTGCATAGGGAGAGTTGCAGGCGGTGCGCACGCACATATCCAGGAGGCCGTCACTGTCATTTCAGGCTTCAAGGTCTGCTGCCCAGCGATTCACCCGGCCCCAGTGTGCGCCACATGATATGTTGGTGCGTGGGCGACCACTGACAGTGATGAGTCAGGTCATGCAGCCCCCTACTTCCAAACCCTGAAACGGACTGCTCACCCCCGCCAACCCCGCCCGCCATCCCGGCCTCCACGCGCTGAGCCTTTGGGACGCGCCCCTTGCTGGGCGTGTTGTCGACGAATTGCCGTCCCGCGCCCCCGCTCCGGCGTGCGGCGTGCGCCGCCGCTGCTGCCTGTTGAGCGGGGAGGTCGCCAGGCGAGGGGGTCTCTGGCACGGTGCCTATCTGGGACGGCCGGAACGGCGTGCGTGCCGGCAGCATGGCTGCCTGCTCGTTCGGGGGCAGAGCGCGCGGGCAGGCTGTGAGCAGTTGCACGTCCAAGTTGAGAGGGCTTCGGGGGTCGACCCAGCACAGCAGCCCCTGCACTTGGGCTGACACATAATGGGCCATGCCACACCATGGGCGTGTTGATCAACCCTGCCTCCACAGCTCACCGCGAGCATGTCGTGCTCTTGCTCCTCTGGCGGCAGGTTCTCCAGCCCGGCCCCACAGCCGCCGCTGCCGTCGTCTGACGCCAGCCGCGCCCCGCCGCCGCATGCGGCCGGCGGCCACATGATGTCCGCGGCGCCCGCCATCAGGCCGAGCGCAAACTCGCTGGTGGCAGCGTCCAGGTGGTGGCGCAGCAGCTCCCTCGCCTTGGCCTCCAGGCGGCTCACGAACGATGCGTGCGCGGCGCGCAGGGTGGCGTGAAACGCCTGGAGGGGGGGGGGGTGGAGGTGCGTTTATGGATACGTGAGCAGGATGAGCCGGGCTGTGCATGCATGCAAGATTTACAACTGCATGCCATTGCGGCTTGCGGGAGGCAGGCAGTGCGAGGCGCGGCAGCCACACACCGTGTATGGCTGCAGCAGCTCGCGGCCGGCGCCGCTGCGGCTGGCGCGCTCCGCAGCAGCATCCACGGTGCGCCGCAGCACGAATGCCAGGCGCGCGCACGCGGCGTCCAGAAGCGGTGACAGCAGCTCCCTCGCCGCCTGCGTGTGCGCAGAGGTGGGAGTGACTCGCAAGTATGCTCCCCTTGACAACAACCCCAGGCTGCTGGTGTTGCGGTGACAATAGCCATGTATTTGTGGTGCGACAAGCTGCGCCTCACCTGTCGCGCGATGTCCTCGGCCGCACGCGTGGCGCCGCCCAGGTTGTCGCGGCCCTTGCGCGCAAGCAGGACGTTGGCGATGCGGTCGCGCGCCACGGACGCTGCAGGTGCATGGCATTGGGAGGGGTGGGTGCACGCGCGAGCTCAAGGTGCAATCATATGAGAATAGTAGGCGCGTGTGCACCAACACAACCCCACAATCAGCTCACACCTTACCTGATGGGAAGCGCAGTGCGTTCGCCGCCTCCTGGAACTCGTTCAGGCACCTCTCAAAGGCTGCGCCGCCAAAGAGCCTGAGCCCCGCGTTGGGCGGCCGCACGGCCTCGGTCACCCCTGGCCACTGCGTGTTGGTGTGCCCAGCAAGGAAGACGAGACCAGCAGGAATGTAAGTGGCAGCGAGCTGGGCCATGTCAGCAAGAAAAGCAGGCATATGGTTGTTTGACACATGTCATCCTCTCTCCCTCCCTTCAAGTTAAGTCAAGGGGGCCCATGCTGCTGCTCCATCCCTGCCCCGCCATCCTCACCTGCGGCATGTTGCAGCGCGCCCGCTCGTCCTCGCTGCTCATGCCATGCTGAGATGGGTCCGGGTCGCTGCTGCCCTGCAAGATCGCCTGAACGTGGGCCGCCATGCTTGCAGCGTACGCCATGCCTGCAACGTCAGGTGATGGGAGGGTCTGAGTCAGGCAGTTGGGTTCAGAGTTCTCATTTGATTATGCCCTGCTACAACCATCAAACATGCTAATCCCCATGCCGGCAGCAGCAGGAAGAACCCGCGTATCAAGGCGGGCCCCGCACCCGCGCGCCGCAGCGACGCGACGTCGGAACAGGACTGTATGCGCGCCTCCAGCGCGATAAGCTCCTTGGCGACAGCCTCGCAGCGCTCCTGCAGCAGCGCCAGCGTGGCGGGCGCCGCCTCGCGGTAGCGGCGAGCGAGCTCCTCCTCCAGAAACCTGTCAGAGAGGTTGGGGTGACAATGGTGATGCACACCAAATGCGCATGCATGCATGCGTGTGTGCGTGTGCGTGCGTACTGTTGTGCGCATGCATGCATGCATGCATGCATATGTGTGTGCATACGTGCACACGTGCACGCGCGCATGAGGGTATGTGCGTGTGTTGAGCGCGCCTCGGCCTGCGATCCATGTTGAGAGGTTCCCTCAGCGATTGCGAGCGATCTCCCGCCTGCCGGCATGTCCGAATGCCAAGGGTGCAGCGCACCTCTTCAGGTTGCCAAACCCTATGCGCGAACCGAAGTGGTCCTCGTCAAAGCCGCCCTTGACGCCGTCCCGCAGGTGTGAAAACACTGCCCTGTCCACGTCTGCCATCTGGCGGCGCCACTCGGCACTGCCCTGCAGCTGGCGGTCCTGCGGCAATGAGCAAGTGTTGCAAGATTCCAGGTGTGCCAACAGACTCTGGCGCGCCTTGCACCGCACACAGCGCTGGCCGCCACGACCCGGCACCCCTGCTGGCGGCAGGAGGCCCTGGGCGACGTCCCCCTCTGCCTTCACCTTCGGCAGCGCCACAAAGAAAGGCTTGACACTGGGCGGCAGGTAGCCCGTGGCGGCCAGGTAGCGGTCCACCTCCCAGCGCTCCGCAAACTCCTTGAGCCGGTTGTCAAACTTGCTGGAAGGTGGCGAGGAAAGGTGGGTTGGTTGATGTTGCCCAATAGCATGTGCTTTTATACCACATAGCTGCAACAAAGCACATGTTGAGGACTCGCTGGAAACCCACGGGGGGTGTGGGGGGCAGGGCTTCGAGATGAATACCAAAAAGCACAAGAAAGATCTCGCCCCCTCGCCGCACCTTGCCACCATGACAGTGCGGCTGCGAGGTGAACAAGGGTGCGTGGACGCAAAGGTGGGTCAGACATGAGAGGGTTGAGGTTGGGACTATTCGGACGTCGTTGCCGCAAGGCAGCACAGAATCCTTAAACCCTGCCCTTCACCTGACAAGCAAATCCAAGCACGTCGACGCGCTTGTGCTGCACGAACCTGAATGTGGGATCCACCTCCTGAACCACGTGCAGCCAGAGGGAGCTTGCCCACTCCACTGACGATTGCTGAAGGAAGAGGATCAGCCTTCGAGAGGGGAGCATTGGGGCACACGATCAGGGATGGTGGAGGTGGAAAGGGAACCCAACCGCCCTTGCTGGCTGCGTGCGGCTGCCAATGCAGCAGCACCTCGCACCTGTGCGCAGGCGCCGCCTGCTCCCGCACCATGCGCATGATGTCGTCAGGGGTTGAGTCTGCCTCGCCGTTGCGGGCCTGAGGAATACAGCCGGGCCGTGTTGGTAATATGGGGTTGAGTGGAGCCACAACTTGCACGCAGCAACAATTGGAAAGCCGGGGATGACTGCTGCCATCGTCACATTGGCATTCAACACACTCAACCCTGCCATCACAGCGCCGGAGGCATGTCAGAAACACCCCGGACGACCTTCAAAATGAAACCCGGGGTGTCGATGATGGTCAAGTTGGCGCAGTAGGCGTACCTGTGCAGGGCAGGTGAGCGGGGCGGGGTGCTGCAGGACGCACAACTGAAAGCTGCGCAGCACAATGCAAAGCTCTTGGATCCCGGATGCATAATCAACCTGTTTCCACGCAATCGCCTTGCCGCTGGGGCACTGCCCGGCCCCTGCCGCCATAAGTGCTTGCATTGCCCGCCTGACAGGGCGGCTGCGCGGCGGCAGGCCCTGACCCACTCTGCACGCATGACGATGGGCTTGCCAGACACAGAGGCGCCGCCCAGCTCTCGCAGGTGGTCCTGCGTGCGCTTGACAATCGCGTCCGCGATCGCGGACTCTGGCAGCGGCGCCCCAAACTCCTCCGAGCCCTCGTCCTGCAGGCGGCAGCGTGGCTGCAGCGCCGCGGGGTCGTGGACCATCTGCACTATCAGCGGCCGGCGCGTGCCCATCTCTACCTCGCGCACGTTGAAGCGGAACTGTCCATGGGGCGTACAGCGGCAGGGGGGTGGGAGCCTCGTAAACTAGGCTTGGCTCAACTGGACGCGCTACAGCCTCCATAGGTGGATGAGAGAGTGGTGCTACGCCTCTCGCGCTTGTCCCAGCCGACAGTGGCGAACACTGGGTGGGACACACTGAGTGTCGTGCTGCCTCGCCTTGGGCGCTGTATTGAAAACGGCTGGCATTCTCACCCCCAAGAACGCCTCCAGTAAGCTTGACTTGCCATCGCTTTGTCCCCCGATGGCCACAATCTCAGGGATCGGTAGGCTGCATGACTCCCCGAACGCTGCGCACGCAGGGAGGGCGGCGTCAGCAGTGCACAAGAATGTAGGCTCTGCATTTGCGCAGTTCGTCCCGGTGCCCACCAACAGCAGCCGCCTGAAGCCTGCTAAACGCCTCGTATCTCAGCTTGGACGTGGGGTTGTCAAAGGGGTCTTGCTGCTCGGCCACCATCGCGGTGCGACAGATCGCAGCAAGGTGCGCGTGAGGCACAAGCGCGCATGAATGGATTCAAAACCAACTTGTGATCGTCACAGGTCAGGGGAGCTCCCCAGGCTCCCCGCTCAATTCAAATTGAACAGCTGCTCCTCAGCTCCTGGCGCATTGTCAGCACCCACGTGTGTACAATTGACTACAGAAGGAGGCCATTGAGTGGTCTATACACAGTGCCCATATTGAGTCTGTGGCAGCTGATAGAGGTCAGCCCCACACGCTATCATGTTTGTCGTGCGCAGGGGATTGGCCCCTGGCCAGAGGGAGTTTCACATCCCAACAGCCGAGATCACACTCAGCTGATGTGAACAAGGTTGTCTGATATCGTGATTCCTCCTTTTGTCAGATCACACACGGTAAGACCCACTGTGAATCAGTGCAAGGCTGCTGAAAGACAACTGCTAGCTGCTTTGTGCACGTCTCACATACCTCAATACCGTACTGCATGCAAGGCAGGACAAACAAAGGTCACAGTGCGATAATAGTGGATATGATGCCTGTGCATATACCTGGGTTAGGAAGCATGGCCGCAAGGGGCCGGGGGCAGGGCACTCGAGAATGCGCGGGCTGCATGTGGTGAATAGCGTCGTTTGAAACGAGGGCTAATTCGCTGGGCAGCATTAAAGCAACAAATGTGTAACTTTAATAAGCATGGTGCAACGAATGGATTTTCCCCCGCCCGGGCTGCTTCGCATGGCGCCCATGACGCCTCAGATCGCGCGACGCTTCATGCTCTGTTGGCCATGCGCGACAAAACAGCATTTTTAAAGGGTCATAGAAAGCTAATATGGCAGCTGAATGGCGCAGAGGCGCCGGTCAGATCAACAAGAGCGTGGCACCGG